GTTGTAATGAAGATGTTGGTATGAATGAGAATTATTGTTTGCTTAATTATCCTCTAGTTCTTCTCCTTATCTTCCTCTGTTCTTATCTCTGTTCCTATTCTTCTTCCTCTATCTAAACCAACCACATCATTGGTATCAGAGCCAGTTCCGACCATGGACACTCACGGCAAAAAAAATACAGAATTCCGTAACGATGTCTACAAAATCTTAGCACGACACGAGACTAGTCTTGATCAGGTGAATGCAACCTTAAAGGAAGTGTTAACCGAGCTTCAAGCTCTTCGAGCCTCCCATAGTCAAAACACTAGCCCACGTGCTGAATCCTCACACCCACATACTTCTCGTTCTAACACTTCAACTCACTCCTCCACCAAGATGACACCCTTTGAATCTATTTATGGCATTCCGCCTCCACGTCCAGTGGCTTATAAACTGGCTTTGCCTCCTGGTTCCCAAGTTCATGATGTGTTTCGTGTCCGTTTATTTAAGAAGCATTTGGGACCAATCACTCCAACATCCACCCAACTTCCCCCTGTCTCAGAGACTTCGACCATTCTTCCACAACCTGAAGCTATTTTAAATCGACGTGTGATACGCAAAGGTAAATACCACCCAAAATCTGAAATCTTAGTGAAGTGGGTCGGTGCACCAGCAGAAGATGCTACCTGGGAGAATGAATGGCATTTCCACAAGCTAGTTATCCTGATTTTATCCTTGCGGACAAGGATCCTTAAGGGGGGGCGAATGATACGTGCAGGACAGGGATAGTGGGAAGAGTGATGTTAGTGGATAGTTGTAGAGAGAGAAGTGGTGTTAGTTGGTAGTTGTAGAGAGAGGAGTGGTGTAGTGGGTAGTTGTAGAGATGAGTGATGTTAGTGGATAGAGATAATTAGTGTGGTTATATATAGTTGTTGTAATGAAGATGTTGGTATGAATGAGAATTATTGTTTGTTTATCCTCTAGTTCTTCTCCTTATCTTCCTCTGTTCTTATCTCTGTTCCTATTCTTCTTCCTCTATCTAAACCAACCACATCAGATTTCAACCATTGAAATTGGAAATAAAGGTGAGGATTGGGTAATTGGACCCTCTCCATTTACCATCTAATTGGAGATGATCTGAATCCTAGAAAAAATAGACGTTAATAAACATAAGGATTTTACGTAATTCAAAGTAAGTCCTACATCCGCAGGTAACAATAGATAAATTCTATCAAGTAAAAATGCAAATTACGCAAATGAGATCAATCTCTCTCTCTCTCTCTCTCTCTCTCTCTCTCTCTCTCTCTCTCTCTCTCTCTCTCTCTCTCTCATTTATAAACGGATCCCTCTCTTTCATATCCATTTCTCTCTTTTCTATATTCTAATCTAATGGAAAAATCCTAATTTATAGAGCTTTCCCATGTCAAAGTTATCTAATAAATACCAACCCAAATTCTAACTGTGAATAGGGATTTTAATCTGGAAACACCGCTCAGGGTTTGACCTGGCATAATGATTGAACTTGGTTCGACAAAATATGAAAAGTCGGTTTTTGCTTGATGCTACAGAGGGCTCTATAGAGCCCTGTTGAATTCGATCATGCATGTTCTTCCAAGCATGACAAAAATGCAGTGTTGTAGGGTTATGTTGTTTGCAAATTTTGTTTTTGTGAGAGTGATCTTCTAGGTCCTGTAGAACTCTCTCGATCGGGCATGTTGATGGAGGTGTTTGATGAGAGCAAATTATATTCACTATATTGTTATTGTACAATGGGATTACACGTATATATATATACATCAACCAGCTAAAAAGGAAAGAAATGAAAAAGGAAGAAAATCAATGGGCAATCAATGGGGAATCAATGGGCAATCCCAAATATATTCCCCCCCCCCTCAAACTCAAGATGGGTTAGTAGAGGCCAGCTTGAGTTTGTTAAGTAAATGATAGAACCGGCCAGGAAGATGAGCTTTAGTGAAAATATCTGCAGGCTGATCTATTGAAGATATAGGAAGAAGTTGTAAGGTGCCATGCTGAAGATGTTGACGAACAAAATGACAATCATTCTCAATGTGTTTGGTGCGTTCGTGGAAAACATCATTATGAGCAATTTGAATTGCACTTCGATTGTCACAATGGAGAACGGTAGCAGAGGATTGTGGAACTCCCATATCCTCAAGTAACCAACAGAGCCAAAGTAATTCAGAAGTAGTATCAGCTAGGGCCCGATATTCAGATTCAGTACTTGATCGAGATGTGACAGTTTGCTTTTTACTTCTCCATGAAATGAGCGAGTCACCCAAGAAGAAGCAGTAACCAGTTGTGGAGCGACGATCAGTAGGATCACCAGCCCAATCAGCATCAGAATAGCCAGTTAAAATTAAGGACGAATGAGCAGAAAAATGAAGTCCATGAAGAAGAGTGCCTTTGACATATCTTAGAATACGAAGAACAGCAGTATAATGAATAGTCCGAGGAGCAGCCATGAATTGACTGACAACATGCACGGCATAGGCGATATCTGGACGAGTCACGGTCAGATAAACAAGACTACCAACAAGTTGTCTATATAAAGTAGGATCAGGAAGAGGTGTGCCATCAAATGGAGTTAGCTTAACATTGGTATCCAATGGTGTTGAGGCAGTATTTGAATCAGTGAGAGCAGATCTGGAAAGCAAATCAGAAGCATATTTGGCTTGAGACAAATAGTAGCCATCTGAACAAGAAGAGACTTCAAGCCCGAGAAAATAACTGAGTGGCCCCAAATTTTTCATCTCAAATTGTTGACTGAGGTAGTTTTTTAAGTCAGAGATGGTCACAGAATCATCACCTGTAATGATCATATCATCCACATAAAGTAACAACAGAACAATACCCTTCTCAGTACGACGGATAAATAAGGCTGAATCATGAGGGCTAGAAGCAAAACCAAAACGTGCAATAGTGGAACTGAATTTTGCAAACCATGCTCTCGGAGCTTGCTTAAGACCATATAAAGCTCTCCGAAGAAGACAAACTTTTTGTGGAGGATGAGAATAACCAGGAGGAGGATACATGTAAACTTCCTCATCCAAATCGCCGTTGAGACAAGCATTTTTAACATCCATCTGAAGAAGGGGCCAATGTTTTATTGCAGCAACAGCTAAAAGACTACGAACAGAGGTTAAACGAGCAACAGGAGCAAATGTTTCTTCATAATCAATGCCATATTCCTGAGTATAGCCTTTAGCAACTAAACGAGCTTTATAACGCTCGACAGAACCATTAGAACGAGTTTTAATCTTGTAAACCCACTTACATCCGATAGGAGTTTTGCCTGAAGGAAGATCCACTAAATCCCAAGTATGTGTTTTCTCTAAGGCATGAAGTTCCTCAGACATTGCTTGCTGCCAGAGAGGATCAGTACTAGCCTCACGGTAAGAATGTGGTTCTTGTAAAGAAACAATAGCAGAAAAGCAATGATAATCTTGAAGATGACGAGGAGATTCTCTTATCCGATTAGAGCGACGAAGAGGAGGTTCAGGATCATCAGTGGAGACAGATGCTGTAGATGTGGGTGCAGAGGTGGAAGGAGAATTATCAAGCTCAACTAAAGATTCTGTATCAGAGGAAGGGAATAACTCAATTGAAGGGTCAGTGAAGAACGGTTGAGAGGCGGAAAAAGAACTATGAAATTTAGACATAGTGGAGAACATGGTATGCTCCCAAAAAATGACATGACGAGAAATTCGTAACCGACCAGAAATAGGATCCCAACAACGATATCCTTTATGTTCTTGTCCATATCCAAGAAAACAACAAAGACGAGCCCGCGGTTCAAGTTTAGTATGTTCATGGGGGTTAAGAAGAACAAAACAAGCACAACCAAAAACTCTAAGATTTGAGTAATCAGGTGTTTTACCATATAATCGTTCAAAAGGAGACAGATTCTGAAGGACCGGAGTAGGAAGACGATTAATGGTGTAAACAGAGGTAAGTGCAGCCTCACCCCAAAATTTTTCAGGACAGGATGCTGAAAGAAGTTGAGCACGAACAGAATCTAAAATATGACGATGTTTACGTTCTGCACGACCATTTTGTTGGGAGGTATAAGGACATGATCTCTGAACAATAGTTCCCTGCTGTTTGAGAAACTGAAGAAGAATAGAATCTTGATATTCCATGGCATTATCAGTACGAAAAATTTTGATACAGCAAGAAAATTGAGTTGTAATCATGGTAGCAAAATCAATATAAATTTGAGATAATTCAGATCTATGCTTAAGAAAATATATCCATGTAAATCGAGAATAGTCATCAATGAATAAAACAAAGTATTTATAACCATTCACAGTAGGAGTAGGAGCAGGACCCCAAATATCAGAATGAATCAAGCCAAAAGGAGTATCACATTTAGAGTTATTATGACTAAAAGATAAGGCAGGCTGTTTTGCGAGTTGACAATGTAAACAATCAAAAGACTCAAATTTGGAAAGACCTAAAGTTCCACTAGAAACTAAAGAACGAAGTTTACTAGCGGATGCATGACCAAGACGAAGATGCCACTGGTATATTAACGGAATGGTGGTGGAAGCAGAAATCGATCTGGGAGCAGAAACTTTAAGAGATGTGAGCTCAAATAATCGTCTCACCTTGCGCCCCGTGCCAATTATCTGTCCCGTCTGAAGATCCTGAACCTGACAACCATGGGGAGAGAAAAGAACAGTTAGACCAAGATCACATAATTGACCAACCGAGGCTAAGTTTAGGGATAATTTTGGAACACAATAAGTATCAGGAAGGTTTAAATTAGAGGTAGCAGCTGTTCCAATATGGGTAATAGACATACAATTACCATCAGCAGTTTGAATGGGTGGAAGAAATTTACTAGGAGTTTTATTAGATAAGAGAGAAATTTGAGAAGTCATATGATTGCAACAAGCAGAGTCAAGAAGCCAATAAAACTCCTAGTAAATTTCTTCCACCCATTCAAACTGCTGATGGTAATTGTATGTCTATTACCCATATTGGAACAGCTGCTACCTCTAAGATTTTGTTGAAGTGCCTTGAGGACGAGGTGGACGGGTTGGACAATTTTCCAAAATATGACCATGTTTGTTACAGTATCTGCACTCAATAGTAGGGCAATTTGCAAATGTATGTCCTGTATTTCTACAATTCTTGCACAAGGATGAGCCAGATGTAGAGCGTGGCCGAGTGATAGCAAGAGCAACTTCCGGTGAGGGAGATTTGATCAAACCAAGACGTGTTTCCTCAAATAAGATTTCTTTAACAGCAGCATCCAAAGAGGGTAAAGGATCACGATGCAACAGAGCAGCACGAACAGATTCATATTCAGGACGTAGAGCCATGAGAACCTGAATAAGGCGAAGATGATCATCACTGATATTAGCTTGTGCTAATTGATTCCATATAGGCTGAATGACAGCAAGGAAGTCATTAACAGATTGTCCGGAGTCTTGTTTAAGACTGGCAAGAGTTGTGAGCAGTTGATAATAGTGTGCAAGACCTGTAGTTTTGTACCGATTGGACAAGAAATCCCAAATTTCTTTTGCAGTATCAAAATCAGCAAACTGGATATGAATGGCTGAAATAGAGGTGTTACAGAACCAGGTAATTATCTGATGATTTTTGCTATCCCAATCTTCAAGACGTTCTGCATACTTGGTATTGTTTTCATCAACATCTCGGACTGGTTCAATAACATCGCGAGTAATAATGCGCCAAAGCTTGCGTCCAATTAAGAAACTTTTCATTCGTTGAGACCATAGAGTATAATTAGAGCCATCCAAAATAACAGCAATAGGACGAAATATTTCAGATTTCTCCATATCAACAAACCCAAAAGAAGAACCCAACATAAGACCACCAAACCCACAAAAGTCACACTTTTATGTGTGACAGCTAAGAAGAAGAGCAGATCTGGAACCACGGACTTGAGCGACGGGAAGCACGGAGAAAGGCAACCGGCGACCGGCGACGGGAAGCACGGATCTGGAACCACGGATCTGGAACCACGAGAGGAGTTCGCTGGCGACCGGCGAAGCTCTCGGTTCTGGGAGGCGGATCTGGTTGATTCTGGGCGGCGAAAGGCACAGATCTGGGCGACGGAAAGCGCGGATCTGGTCGATTCTGGATGGCGGTTCGGATCTGAAGAGGGCGGCGGTTCGGATCTGGGTTTGTCGGGGAGGGCAGGGATGCGGACGGAAAGTTGTTCGTCGGCGACGAGATGGCGGCGAAGCTCTGGCCGAAGGAGGAATCGCGGGTCTCGTGCGGTCGTCGACGCTGGAAACGTGAGAGAGAGAAGATTGGAGGCGGTGATCTGATTTAAGAACAGAGCTCTGATACCATGTTTGATGAGAGCAAATTATATTCACTATCTTGTTCTTGTACAATGGGATTACACGTATATATATATACATCAACCAGCTAAAAAGGAAAGAAATGAAAAAGGAAGAAAATCAATGGGCAATCAATGGGGAATCAATGGGCAATCCCAAATATATTGCACAATCTAATGCTGATACGTTAACAGGAGGATTCTGGCCATTCTTTAACATAGTGTTACAATCTATAGGATCGAAAATATAGAAATATACATTCATCCATGCAATCGTATATCAAAAGGTTTTCTCTAAGCATTGCTCCGAGAACTCGCAGGAGCATTGCCCACTTGACCCCTGCCTACTAAACAGTCAGCAAGAGAACCACTTGGGAAGTTTCTATCCTTGGGGACCCTTGCGACTGGGTTTATAATTCAGTAGGCGTTCAAATCTGAGTCCAAGTAATATATATTCTCAATCTAAAAATTAGATTCTAAATTATTTGTATCTATCTGCTCGCACAATAATGGAACATCATACTAGGGAAGCTTGCAAATAACATGTCAGAAATATTGAACAATTTTTCAAAACCGGCTGGATTTTTTTTTTTTCAAAATCGACTGTTTTTTTTAATTTATCAAAATCGACCCGATTTTGTGATTAGCAGGCTAATCACCCTCCTAAATAGTCGGGGTTGGCAACCCCGACTATTTAGGATAGTGATTAACCTGCTAATCACAAAACCGGGTCGATTTTGATAAATAAAAAAAAACGGTCGATTTTGAAAAAAAAAAAAAATCGGTCGGCTTTGAAAATTTGTTCCAGAAATATTATTTGCTTCGTGGGCCGGGCCCACCGAACTTATGTAAGCCACACGGAGGACGTGGGTCCCTGCTCACAGAGCCAGGAAAGCTGGCATAGAAAGAAAAGGGGAAACAAGAAGCATCCCTACAGCTTCTCACACTTTAGGTCATGCCTCAACCTCAAGCTTGATACTGTGGCATCACTCAAATATTCAAATTCCATTGGTTCCCCATGTGATCCCACCACACTGAGCTGAAGCTCAGTTAACTACCACTAATATGCTCATTAAGCAAGCTAATTGCTTAATTAGTTTGTATGTGTGAACTCACCATCTTTTGTACAAGCTTCTTGATCATGAAGACTATGTGTCATGGGGATCACCATGAAATATCTTTTGCTTATTTTTCTTATCTTCAACAACTTCTCCAGCTCTCTCCTCAGAGAAAATATTATAATTAATTAACGAATACAATATAAAATTTATTAATTACAAGGTGGGAAACTTGTACATGCTTCCTACATTGTTTATTACACCTCTAGCTGTTAGGCTTTGTCTATTTAAGCCTCTACCTCTCCACTTCCTATCATTCCCATGTGCACCCATATCTGATATATTCTTGAAACCCCTCCTCTCTCTCTCTAACTCTCTCCCACTCTCTCTCCTTCTATAAAATCTAAATCTTAGAAGCATTTGACTTGCTTCACCTATAAATATGGGATTTTATGCTGCCATTTTCATTGTAAGCATCTTCATCATATGGCTAACAATTTTTGTTCATAGATGGAGGAACCCTAGATGCAATGGCAGGCTCCCCCCTGGCTCGTTGGGCTTGCCGATCATCGGCGAAACCCTTCACTTCTTCAAGCCCAACACGTCTAATGACATACCCCCCTTTGTTAAAAAGAGGGTAGAGAGGTACAAAACTGGTCCATAGTTTCTTCATGCATTCGTATAGTACATTCTCAATTACTCCTTATGCACCAAACTTTTGGGGTAGCTATATAAATCATATTGTTCCTTTCATTTCTATATCTTCTCTGTTAACTATTAGGATATCCTTCTTAATTGGTTTTTTTTAAAACTAAGTTCTTTTAGATCCATCTTTAGTCCTCTATGCCTCATTAATTAACTATAATCTTATTACTAACTGGTATCTCTTGCATATAACAAACAGTCACTATCGGTCTTCTTTCATTTTCATACTTAACAGAAACAACTTATTACCTGTTGTGAAGGTGCTCATTGCTTACCATATTTCTTAACACACTCATTTTTGCTATACTCATCTTCTATTGTGTTTGCTATCAGATATGGACCGATATTCAAAACAAGCTTGGTTGGTCGCCCTATTGTTGTTTCAACTGATCATGAGCTCAACAACTTTGTCTTCCTACAAGAAGGGAAACTGTTCGAAAGTTGGTACCCTGAAACGTTCACCGAGATCTTTGGACGAGACAATGTGGGCTCTTTACATGGATTCATGTACAAATACCTAAAGAGTCTAGTTCTTAAACTCTTTGGCCCTGAAAGCCTCAGAGAGAAACTACTAAGCGACGTTGAGAAGTCTGCTAGCATGAGTCTAAGCTCATGGTCAGGACTTTCAAGCATTGAGCTCAAAGATGGCATATCGACTGTATACCTGTTAACCTTAAACTTTATAATTTTACCTTTCGACATAAACATTATATTTATGTTTTGATATTTTTTTACAGATGATATTCAACCTCACGGCTAAAAAATTGATCAGTTATGATGCTTCAAAGTCAAAAGAGAACCTGAAAGATAGTTTCGTTGCTTTCATTGCGGGACTGATATCATTTCCAGTTAATATTCCAGGAACTGCTTACAATAAATGTCTCCAGGCATGTATATGAGGAAAAAAAGTAATTATTTGTTGAGATTTTAAATTTTATGATTCTAATAAATTTGAAGTTCTGATTTGTTCAGGGAAGGAACAAGGCAATGAAAGTGCTGAAGGATTTGTTAACTGAGAGAAAGCATTCACCAAATAGGCAGTGCATCGACTTCTTTGATTTCGTTATCGAAGAGCTGAAGAAGGAGAAGCCAGTCTTAACGGAGTCAATTGCTCTGGATTTAATGTTTGTTCTTCTGTTTGCAAGCTTTGAGACTACATCCTTAGCAATGACATTAGCGATGAAACTTTTAGCAGACCATCCTAAAGTCTTAGAGGAATTAACGGTTAGTAGTATTATTTTAACTAATATTAAATTTTGATGCATGCTTGTATATTTTTTTTATAATTGATTGTAACTGAATCAAATTGAGCTTTTTCAGCTAGAGCATGAGGCTATTCTTAGAAATAGGGAGAACCCAGATTCCGGAATCACATGGCAGGAATATAAATCTATGAACTTCACATTTCAGGTGAACCAAATTGGTAATAATTCATATAAATACATATACATGTAACTTTAGAAATGACTCGTGGACAACATCTATGCAGGTTATCCATGAAACGGCAAGGTTAGCAAATATTGTACCGGGCATATTCAGAAAAGCATTGAAAGATATCCAAGTAAACGGTAATATAAACTTCATGTGTGATCATTTTGCTTTTCTTTTTCTTTTTATATTAATATTTTTACTAATTGTGTTTCAAATTTTTGTGACACAGGATTTACGATTCCTGCAGGTTGGGGAGTGATGGTATGTCCTCCCGCTGTTCACTTGAATCCCGAGATATACGAAGATCCTCTTTCTTTCAATCCATGGAGATGGAAGGTTAGTAGTCTACCTCAAATCTAAAATCATTGATCATAGAAAGTCACTCAAATCCGCAGACAATAATAAAATGGATACCGGTCGAAGTAGTGTTGATATTCTTCGTATGATACTATCTAACCATCGAAGCCTAAAAAACTAACACACGTTAATTTAAATGGATTTGATTCCTTCCCTGACTTTGAAACGTTTCCAGTTATCATTAGTCATTTTAATAAAATCATACCCAAGTATTAATGATTGCATTACAAGTCAACTGACCACTTATTAGTATTAAATTTCATAAAGCTAAAGAAACACCCAACTTGGTCCACAGGGTAAGTCTGAATTAAGTGGGGGATCAAAGAATTTCATGGCTTTTGGAGGAGGGATGAGGTTTTGTGTAGGTACAGACTTCACCAAGCTTCAGATGGCAGTTTTCCTCCATTGCTTGGTTACAAAGTACAGGTAAAAAGCTAAAAACATTTTTTTTTTATCTCCAATTTTATTATTGTAATTAGCACGCCAATAATAATAAGTAATGTTTGTAACAGATGGAAGCCCATTAAAGGAGGGAACATAATTCGAACTCCGGGATTAGGATTTCCTGATGGTTATCATGTCCAAATTATCCCTAAAGAATGAAACCAGCATAGACATATAACGAATTATATGTTGCGGTAGAGATTTTGAACACCTACTGTTGGACAAGGATTCAGTGTTGTTGCTTTCCAATATTTTATCATTCTATTGTCTTGAAGAAAATGGAAAAAAAAAAGAAAAAAAAAAGTGTTGTAGTGTAGTACGTATTGTAATAGTTTTGCTGGGGTTTCATGTAGTGTATTACGTATCGCTGTTTGATCATAGCCGTAGGTAGTTTGTGTGAGTGTACAGTTGTAAACATGAAAGAAAGTTTATAAAGTATTGTAGTTTGTATTTCTTGTTTCTTATTATTCCTTGGGTTTTTTTTAGTGACTGGAGTGGATAGCTGCAATTATCTCCGTTACATTGTGACTTACATAAGTAGCTAGATAGTTTTACCCAGATGAACCTATAACGAACAAATTCCCAGGATGAGCTAGAGATCATTTGAAGAAAGGGGTGTTTATAAACCCCCTCTTAAATTTGGGGGTTGTGTAGATAACCCTCCTTAACCATATTAATTACACGACTCCCTGAACATAAGGGGTTTTGCACATAACCCCCTAGAAGACTTCTCTTATTCCATTGAACTCCTAAAGATTTTCAATTTTAACGCCACAATAGCATCATAAGTCTAATATGTTACATTTCGAGCATGTGGCCGAAAAAAGGCATAAAATACTACTCACCCATCAAAAAAATAAATGGAAATAATAGAAAGTCTAAATGTGTAAAATATCCTCACTTTTCATGGACCACAACTCGAGCTCTGATCCTAATAATCTTCAAGTATTAAGTGTTGGATCCGGGTGAAGATTCAAACCTCCGCAGGTGATCTAGCGACGAGGTCGAAGGCGAGCTCGAGGCGGGCGGTTCCAACACAGGTGAGTTCGAGATCTCCTTGAAGGCGAGCTCGAGGTCGACTCAGGTGAGGTCGACGCAGGCGAAGTTGGGGGCGGACGAAATCTGTTGGCGAGCTCGAGGTCCCTTGCAGGCAAGCGAGGGCTAGGATATTGCAGGCGAGATTAAGGCTCGTGTCATCGAGTTCCCCTATAAAAGGGAACCCAAAACCCTAGCCCCTTCGTGTCCGCTTCTTCTCTCTCTCTCCTCGCGATTCTTGGAGACGACGACGACTCTCTCCCTCTCTCCTCTCCCGCGATCTCTCTCTCTCTGTTTTCTCCTGTGCTCACGGGATTGAAGAGAAGAAATTTATTGTGATAAATTAAAAAGAGAGAATTAAGAGGGGGTATTAAATAGAAGAGAGATTAATACTGTAGCTACAATATTAATTAGTATTTATTGAGAGATCTCAAGTTTAAGATCTGCTCTTGCTTTGTAATTTCTTGTTGGTTAATAAGAAATTAATTGTGTGGCTTCCGAGGATGTAGGCAGTTGTCAAACCTCGTTAAATCTTGGTGTATTTTCTCTATACTATGTTTCTGCTATCTTGGGGGTTTCAGCGTAAAATTCCCAACAACTGGTATCAGAGCGTGAAACGATCTAGAGAAAGTCAGATTCAAGTGAGAGTCATGGCCGCAGATGAAGAAAAAATGAGACTTGAGAAGTTTGATGAAATATATTTCGGATTCTAAAAAATGCAGATAGAGGATTATCTGTATCAGAAAAATCTGTATCAACCACTATCGGGAAAGAAGCCAGAGTCGATAAAGGAAGATGAATGGATCCTTCTAGACAGACAAGCCCTCGGTGTTATCAGATTGACGTTAACTCGTAATATTGCGTTCAACATAGCGAAGGAGAAGACCACGGTGGGTCTTATGGCAGCACTCTCAAATATGTATGAGAAGCCATCAGCCGCGAACAAAATTTATTTGATGCGATGGTTATTCAATCTGAGAATGACGAAAGGCGCGTCAGTAGCACAACACCTCAATGAACTCAACACGGTCATAACCCAATTGAGTTCAGTTGAAATTGAGTTTGATGAGGAAGTTTGAGAGTTGATACTTTTGTCTTCCCTACCAGAGAGTTGGAATGCTACAGTCACAACTGTGAGTAGCTCGTCGGGAAGCAACAAGTTAAAGTTCGACGATGTTCGTGATTTGGTTCTCAGTGAGGAGATCCGACAGAGAGAGTCGGGTGAAGCTACAACCTCTTCAGTATTGCATACAGAGTCAAGAGGTAGAAATTCAACCAGAGGGAACGGATGAGGTAAATCAAACTACAGAGGTAGATCAAAGGACATGAGGTCCAAGTCAAGGAATCCAAGCAATAACTCAAAGGCTATTAAGTGTTGGAATTATGGAAAGACTGAACATTATAAGAATCAGTGCAAGAGTACACAGAAGGAGAAGGAGGCGAAGGCAGAAGTGAATGTCACTTCCACCTCAGGAGGAGACGACGCATTGAATGCTCTTTGGAGAGCAAGAAGGAATCTTGGGTGTTAGATTCAGGAGCGTCGTTCCATGCCACTTCTCAGAAAGAATTCTTCGAGAAGTATGTTCCCGAAAGTCTTGGATATGTATACCTTGGTGATGATCAATCGTGTGCTATTGTGGACAAAGGTGTAGTAAAAATTAAGTTGAACGGATCAGTATGGGAGCTGAAGGATGTCAGACACATTCCCGACCTAAGAATGAACTTAATATTCATAGGCTAATTGGCTGGTGAAGGATATACTATGATCTTCCATGGAGATGATTGGAAGATCTCAAAGGGCGTAATGACGATTGCCTGAGGTAAGAAGACTGGTACCCTGTATATGACAACAGGTGCATATTGTTTGATCTCAGTTGTAGCAGGCAATGAGACTTCAAAGCTGTGGCACCAGAGACTCGGTCATATGAGTGAGAAGGGGATGCAGATCATGCACATAAAGGGAAAACTCCCAGGTCTAGAATCAGTTGATTTAGATATGTGTGAAGAATGCATACTTGGAAAGAAAAAGAGAGTCAGTTTTCAGACAAGTGGCAGAAACCCCAGGAAAGAGAAGATAGAGCTCGTTCACTCAGATGTTTGGGGACCAACCACCACCGCATCCATTGGTGGAAAATACTACTTCGTGACTTTTATCGATGATCACTCTCGGAAAGTGTGTGTCTACTTTCTAAAGCATAAGTCAGAAGTATTTGAAGCTTTCAGGAGATAGAAAGCTATGGTCGAGAATAAGACCGGCTTGAGAACAAAGAAACTCGGGACCGACAATGGCGGTGAGTATGAAGACACCGGATTCAAGAAGTTCTGCTATGAGCACGGGATCAGAAGGTGAGTATGAAGACACCGGATTCAAGAAGTTCTGCTATGAGCACGGGATCAGAATGGAGAGAACCGTACTCGGTACGCCTCAGCAAAATGGTGTAGCTGTTCTGCTATGAGCACGGGATCAGAATGGAGAGAACCGTACTCGGTACGCCTCAGCAAAATGGTGTAGCTGGGCGGATGAACCAAACGTTGACAGAGAGAACCAGAACCATTCGGGTACAGTCAGGCCTACCAAAACAGTTCTGGGCAGAAACGATCAACACAGTAGCTTACTTAATCAAACCAAGGTCCATCGGTTCTAATAGAGCACAGAATACCAGAGAAGGTATGGTGCGGAAATGAGATAAAACTCTCACATCTCAAAGTTTTTGGTTGTGTAGATTACATGCTTATTAGTGATCAAGGTAGGAATAAGCTTGATCCTAAGTTAAAGAAATGCACTTTCATCAGCTATGGTAAAGATGAGTTCGGCTACCGCATTTGGGATAATGAAAACAAGAAAGTGATCCACAGCAGAGATGTGATATTCAATGAGAAGGTGATGTATAAGAACATGCACAAGACAGATGACTCAGAGAGCCGAGTTAATATTTGTAGATGCAGATGATGTCCCTGTTGGCCTTCTTGTTTTGATGATGTTTAACAAACAATTTACCACTAATGTTGTTTGTCTAGTATTTGTGTTTTCGTATTTATTGTAGACAAACAACGTTGTTAGAGGATGGATGGAATAGAGCTTCAACGATCATATCCAAAGGAGGTTGGCGGAATGTCGGTGAAGCCTTGCTATTCAATGTTCAAGATCCAAGTTCAAGCTTCATCCGCGAGATTACCAAGTCAAGCTTATTGAAGATCAAGATCATTGCTTGGGTAATTTAGTTTAGGAATTTATATTATGTGTGTTAGTACTTTAAGCTCAATCATATACACACATACACGTTTTGGTTTTTGTATATATATAGTTATATATATACATATATGTTTTGGTTTGATAGTTTTCAAAGTTTTACTATGAAACAAATGAATAGAATTGGAAAATACTATTTTGTTTCATGTTTATATGCCTATATATGATTTCACCTTTAACAAGCTTATATTTAATGAAATCATATTTAGTGTTTTGAATATATTGCATAGAATATGCAATTTTATGAAAATATTGTATTTCTAGGTTATAGACTTCATAACAACATATTATATCTTTTATCAAGTCTATACAATCATTTCATAAAGTTTCAAAATGTTGTTTAAGTCAAAATATCAAAATATCAATTTTCAGGTTTTCATGTTTTTGAACTATTTTGTAAAATGATGATATTTTTCATTTTTGAACTATCATGTCTACAATCATTCCCCAAAGTTTTACATTTTTTGGAATTTATTTGATATTTTTAAACAGCATTTTAAAATCAGCTATACAGATTTTCATGTATCTGTTTTCGGTCGACCGCACCGGTCGACCGAACCTGAGGTCAAAAGTTCACTGAGTCCAGAGAGTTGGTCGGTCGACCGGTCCGGTCGACCGAAAGCTCAAATCGGTTTTCTGCTTCCAACGGCTAGTTTTTTGACCGTTGCCTTGGGGCTGTTTTTGTCTTTTGCTCAGGTTTTTGGCTGAAGTTTGAGAGGGTATATATACCCCATTGCTGATGTCTTTTCAAGTAGATTAAGAGAGTTTTAAAAACAAGTTTAAGAAAGTTTTAAACAAGGGTTTAAACTTGTTTAGTGTTTGTTTAAGTTTGGTTTAAGAAGCTTTTAAGCATTTGAGTGTTTTGGTTTGTGAAGACAATTTCACAAGAGCAAGTGGAGATCATCATTTGGTGTTTGAGCAATCACTCTTCTCCCTCTCTCTTGTCATCTATAGAGAAGTTTCCTTAAACTCAATTCTAGCATTTTATAAGTTTGTTCTTAATTTCATAAGCTAGATTTCATATTGAGTTTATATTTTATTATCTCTTTGTTCACACACAACCTATTGAGCTTATTGTATTTACATTCATAGTATAATTTTGGGTTGTGAGATTAGTGACTTAGAGTTGTGCTTAATTGAGTTCTCACCTTGTTTAGAGAACA